GCTTTAGATAAAGCTGGTGAAGAAGCCGAGTGGCTTAGAAATTTTTTATCCGATATTCCATGTTGGGATAAGACTTTGCCGCCTGTGATGATTCACTGTGATAGTCAAGCTGCTATAGGTAGGGCGCAAAGCAACTTGTATAATGGTAAATCTAGACATATTCGTCGTAGACATAATACCGTACGCCAATTGATCACAAATGGTGTTATTTCCATTGACTATGTGAAGTCTAAGGAAAATTTGGCTGATCCTTTGACGAAAGGATTGAATAGAGATCAATTGGTAGTTTTGCTAGAGGGAATGGGCTTAAAAATCCACAATTTAAAGAATGATCATAGTGGTAACCCTACCATGCTAAGTGGAGATCCCAAGAACTTGGTTCAAAGGGAAAACTAAGCTATGAAAATTCAGTTGAGCACTTGGAACATATGAATGTCATAAGCTATTCCCTTAAGTACTCCAAGTGCAAGATGACCTGTTGATTGTGGTGAGGATAAGTCATGTGGACTTTTAATGAATCCCTAACCTTGTAAAGGTGGAGTAATATAGGATACTCTTGATAGGGAGGTCACCTATATAAGTGTGAAGTGTGGGCCGCTTCAAATGTAAACACTTATGAATCCAAAGTGATGTCCATGGCCAAAACGGACACAACGATAGAACGGAATGGAGTTAAGATTCTATTGTGTGAATGTCATTGTCTAGGTGTACACTATGGAGGAATAGTTCAAGGCATCATGTCCACTAGTCCGCCAGTACATCCGATGATGTTTACTAAGAAAGGTTCAAAGCCAAAAACTACCTTTTCTGAAGCAATAGAGTTTTATGAGGATTAAGCACATAGTATAATATATTTGATTTACACTCATGTGGGGGATTGTTATTATTTTGAGTGTAATAAATATATTAGGTGGTTGGCATATTAGGTGTTTGTATTAATTATTAGGTGGATTTGTCATATTAGGTGTTTGTATTATTAGGTGGATTTGTATTATTAGGTGGATGCTAATTATTTCTAAACCACCTCAATCAACCAATAGTATATAATTTATTCACTTCATAATTGCTCAAAGACGTGTGAAGTCATATGCACATTGCTCAAAATCCACTATAAATAGAGGGGCTCAGCAGAAGGAAAAATGTACCATACAGAAGAAAAGAAGAGAAAGATAGAGAGAAAGAAAAAAAAATAGAAAAAATATAAAAATATTTATTTGTTATCAAAATAACAAACGAGAGATATTTTTATTCATATTTTTAAGTGCTCAATTCTCGACTCCGTTTCAGTTCGCCGGAGCTCGTAAATCTGGTGTGCTACAGATTTAGAGACGTTTGCCGTTGTATCTTTGGGGAAGTTACGCCTGAACCGTTAGCTGCCACACGGGGCGTATTCTTCTTGCGGAAAGAGTTTTACTCGCCTCGGCTAAAATCCTTCCGTTTTAAGTTTTAATTTATTTTTCGGTTGTAATTTATTTTTCAGTTAGACTGTAATTTTCTATTTTTAGATTATTTGTAAGAACTGAAAAAATACATATCAGTTCGTAGGATTCCCGCGTATTTTATACCAAGTTGATAACAATCGCAAGAAGAATATCTCAACCTACTGGACTGATGGCTTCCACCGGAAATGGTTCCAACAATCAACATCCGATCAATCATGTACCTGCTGTCCATGTCCCTACTGCTGATAAGCCCGAAAAATTCAATGGGCTTGATTTTAAAAGGTGGCAACAAAAGATGCATTTTTACCAGACTACTTTGGGTTTGGTGAAATA